CTGGGCATCTATCCCTAGAAGACAGCGTAGTGTGCAGGTGGCGGCACGCTGGCCGAAAGGAGGAGGCCATCTGCTGTGGCCCAAGGGCACGTACAAAATGTTTAGGGTGCACGTCAGTATGAAGGCATTATGAAATATTCTTTGGAGCATGAACAAAAGTGCAAAGACAGCCAAAGGCAACAGCGCAGATGGGGAAGCTGCAGCCGCAGCTGCGGCCAGGGGGGACAAGACTGCAATGGGCAAGTGTGGGCTGGAAGCGCAGGGTGCGCTGCACTGTATATGGAACCATCCCAGGCAGATGGATGATGTCAAGGGGATCACAGCTTTGAGCCCCTCCGTGTGGGACTGCTAGGGGCAGCCCATCATACTGGCACTCTTCTCCAGTAGCAGGACCTGGAGGTGGAGTCCAGTGTATCTGTATCAGGCAGAGGCAGGGGTGACCTTGGTGAATTTCCCTCAACATACATTAAGGCAACAACTTTATAAAAGCCAGTCCCAATTGGATGTGCGGTGTTAGCAGTGTGTACTCCTGTCTAAGAGTCCCAGAACAGCCTGCGGACTATCCCTTCTCTGATAGGGAGCTAGACACCAGGGGAGCTTCGGGGTGGGTCATAGGTCAGGCCCAGTATCCTCTGTCAGCCAGAACACCAGGAGCATCTAAGACAGAGCTCCTTCTCTACTCCCATTCCTGGTGCTTCCCAAGGCCTGTTGCTAGAACCACCTCATAGATAAGCAAAATTCATCAAACTGTGGCCCCAATTTATTTACTCACAGGGACACTGGGCCCCCTAAACCTAGGGCCTAAGGCATGTGTTGGGCACATGCTGAAGACCCCTCAGAAAGAAGAGGCACCCTCGTTTCCATCACAATACCTCCTCCGGGAAGCTCAGCTGGGGCACAGTAGGAACCTGGGACAGAAAGACAGACAGACATGCCTGCAGATTCTTCTTGAAACTCTTTCCCCACATCCTACATCCTATGCTCTGGGAAGTCTCAGGTGAGCAGAAGGCCAGTGTCTCTACATCATGGGAGCAGATGACATCATTCCAGCCACATGAGCTTGGGCTTCAGGGGTGTTCTGTGTATTGATTCTCCACTCTAACCCAGCCCACCCTGCCAGAATGCAAGGTGCCCCAGATATCTGGATCCTTCTACTGTGGGCCCCACTGTTCAAACCAAATTTTTCATGTTTATTTCAAGAGGTTGTGGCCTCAGAGAAAGGCCCACATGTTGTCCTGTTGGTGTTGGGGTGTGAGCCATGGACAAGTGTATTAGCCTCCACTCTCTGCACTATTTACAGCCAGAAAACTGAAAGACGCAATCTCCGGTGTTTCAGAACGGCATTCCCGTCCCAGATTCTCTCACCTCTGAGGTCTAAAGACATCTCTGGGCCCACTTCTTTCCACAAAAAGCAAGGGTGTTCTTCACAGTGCCCCTGATATAGGATAAACCCAGTAGGGATGGCAGAAGGCCTTATTTCCCACATTCCAAATCTGTAGCCATCCGCTCAAGGGGAAAAAGAACCTTAAACCAGTGCATTAACGGTGGAAGGGGGTCCTGGATATGAGTGCCCCATTTCTAGGGACTGAGGATGACTACAGCTTAGAGTGCCCTCCAAAGAGACCCATTTAGGCGAAAGGGTAACAGCTAGCTTAATGGACACTTGGTCTGCCCAGATCACATGTAGGACAGCAGATGGCCCTTCACCCCAGATATTCTGGCCCTGGTAGACAAGAGTACACTTCCCGGAGGCCAACTGGAAAGGTCCGGAAGGAAGATGTTAAGCCAGAAGACACCAATCACAGCCTGGCATGATGAAGCAGGCATGTATACAGAAGGGCACTGAGAACTGGCCAATACCAAGAACGACCCAATGTAAAGACTGATCTGGACCTCAGCAGGCACTAGAGCTGCTTCACCCTGACCTAGCCACAGCCTCTCTTGGCTCCTACAGACAGCTACCAGCTAGTCCAAGAAGGCAGTGTGGGAATTCAATGGGTTCCAGGTGGACCCTCTACCACTGCTGCCTAGAAGCTCTAGACAGTGAAACTCCCACCCAGTCAGTGCTCAACACTTTAGAACATTCATCGTTAAGTCTTGTGGTACGCTCTCCAGGTAGCTCCCATTAGGAAGAGCCAAAGACAAAAAGATTAAAGTGTTGGGGGCTGAAGCCTACATGTGTGTATACATTAGACATACAGGTTACTCATATGTGTGTGTGCACATGTTCATATATGTGACTATGCAGGTATAAAGGTGGATACCTGCTGTATGTACACATGCAGAATTAACATGTAACCTAAAAGCCTGTATGTTTACATGTGTTCATAGGTATGTATGTGTGGTCTGGCAAACTGTGTGAGCTTTCATGTGTATGTGTGTAACAAGGAATACATGTTTGAAAGTACACCTGCTGTATGTACACTTGTGTCTCTGTGTGTATACTTGTGCGTGCATATGAAAGCGTGGTCTGTAAGCTTTTGTGTATACATATATGAATGTACTTACATGCCCAGTGTATGGGTATGTGCTGGTAGGCATGTGAGGGAATGTGTTGGGATAAATGTTTTCTGAGGAAAATTTTGCCATGGGGCAGCTGCTGGCCTTCAGCCACACTTGGTTACGTGTGAATACCCAAGAAAGTGCACAAATTTCTTATAGGAGCTTCTAGCCTCCGTCCTGTCCTGTTTCCCTGAGGGGGGGATGCCAAGGCAGTGGACATTTGTATTGTTCGGGCCTGGGTCTAGGTCCCCAAGAAGGGGTTCGGTTATTTCTCATATTAGGGTTCCCATGTTACCCCTCGAGATGAACTTGCTCTGAGTAGCCAACACTGTAGCCTTGACCAGTACTCATTTGCAGAGCAGGCCACGGCCTGTCTCTCTTTACTGTAACCTAAATGAGGGTTTCTGATAGATTCTGTATGGTCAGGGTTTCTGGGGAAGGGAGGGTGCCTGTCCACCTTCATCCCACAAAACCTCAGCTCAGGGTATCCCAGGCTCTTGGATCCACGGCAGCCCTGGGGGCAGGATGTGGGGCCATGCACACGAGGCAGGATACATTGTGTGGACCATGTAGGACAGATGCAGACCTCTTTCCCACATTCCCTAGAGCTGAGACAGCTATGCCTACCCAGGTCTAGGGGAGAAGTACTCTGGCAGCTGGTTTGTCCAGGGCAGGTGCACTTGCCCCTCTGCCCTGGACTCTTCCCATGTGTCAGGTGGAGGGTCTGAGCCCAGGCTCAACTCTCCAAGAGAAGGCTAGTGAAGGGACAGCTACTCTTCCTGTCTACATTGCCCGCCATGCCCACATAGGAAGAGACATCTCTCATACCAAGGAGCTGGCTACGGCACTGGCCCTAGGGGACCAAGGGGCACAGAGTGTGACACCTGGCAGAGGCATCCTGAGGTGCAGTCCCTAGAAACCCTGACATGGAGGACATGGAGGCCACATCAGATAGCAGACACAGCTCCCCAGATGCCCAGGTCCCTCACAGAGATATGACCTCAAGTTCTCCTTGGGGATGGGGTGCCTCCTGCAGAGGTTATCCCCCCAAGATGCTTCTACCCCTTCCACAACACTTAAAAGGGGGGTGAGGGAGAAGTGGGTAGAGCGCTTCCCAGGCTCAAGCTCTCCAGCCTTGCCCTCACTGACCAGGAATGCTGTTGCCTCATAGAGACTGGGGCCCCAAAGTGCTATATCATTCATTGCCGGACACCCCTGTGCCAGATGTTGCAGAACCACAGCTGAGGGCTCTACCTTGTCTCCCTCTAGAGCTGGCTGCCATACGGTCCAAGATGGCCCACTCACAAGATGGACAGAGTCCTGCTCACCAGAGTAGAGGACAAGGTGTTCCCAATTCCCCCAAACACTCAGAGGCCACAGCCAAGGGACCTCGAGTGGATGAATGACTGTGGATGGCCAGCTTCCGTGGGAAGGATCCTTGACCAGGCACAGAGGACATGCTCTCGTGGAGAAAGAGCTGGCAGTTTGACGAGGTCGTGCCATTCAGCCCTGCCTGGATCTGTAGAGCCAAGTGGGCAGCAGGCAAGCTGGTGCCCTGGCTGAGGACAGCGCTGGTCTGTTCACCAGATGGTTCTCTTGATGTACTGGCTACAGCCTGAAGACCAGCGCCACACCAAGAAAAAGTGAGGCCATGAGGGTGCCAAGCCAGACCTCCCGGGCTACAGTGCCAGGGAGAAGGCAGCCAGAACCTCCCACAGAACCCCCTTCCAAAAAAAGGCTGTGGACTGGGTCCTCCCCTAAGAGGTGGAAGCCAAGGGTGGGGCCCAAGGGTCAGTTCTAAGCTCCAGGTTGGCCCCTAAGGACTCATCCCTTCCTCAGATCCAGGAAAAGGGTCCTGATCTTCCACAGAACCTGGAAGAGGAAGATGCTGGCCAGCAGCTCTCTAGCGAGATGCCCAGGGACAGGGGCTTTTCCTAGCCACACACAAACAGTGGGCCTGGCAATGCTTTACTGGGGCAGTCAGGAACTGGGGGATAAGCAGTCAGATGTGAGGGTGGACCATTCCCAGCAACCTATGGTACCTCCTGAGCTTCCAGCCTATGCTGTGAGACCCCTGGGCCTCAGGACTGGCTGTCAGCAGCAGACAGGCCCTACTTCACCGCTATCTCCCATGTACTTGATCCCAGCCACACCCCCACTTACAGGTGCCACCATCACTCTGCTGCTCCTCACACACAGGGTGATATCTGTCCCCCAAGAAGACCGAGCAGGGCTAGCTTTGCTGTCGTAGGTAGCTCCTGGGGCCTCAATCTCCCCCTCTTGGTTGGAAAAGAACTTCTATAAAATGTTACCATGTGTGCCAAGGAGCCCTGCCTCCTCTCCACTCCACATGAGCCCTGAGAGCCAGATCCCACAAGCATCCCCTCAATCCACACTGCTCTATGTCACTCTGTCACATTAGGAGAGGCCCTGGAACTCCAGCTCCAAATCAGGACCTAGAGTGGGTATGGCACGGGGCCCAGCAGCCCAGCCCAGTCTCACTTCCTGGGCCCCGCCCAACCCACATCTCCAAAGGGGCCCTCGCCAGTGGCAGAGCGTGGGGGAGGCCCACATGGTGTGCAGAGGTCTGAGTCTGTGTCAGACTCCCCCTCCGCGATGTAGGGCCTGACCTTGGCACAGGGCGCCACGGCTGCGTAACAGCTGCCCAGAGCATCCAGGTTCTCCTTGGACTGGGAGATACTGAAGCCACTGAAAGAGCGCTCCAGCTCCTCGTGGTCCACAGATGGGATGGAGATGGAGGTGTCACTATCCCGCAGGGCACCCTCAGGGGGCCTGCAGGCTGGGGCGCTCTCCAGCCTCAGGAACTCGGTACTGGCCCGGTTGCCCCCACTGTAGGCAGACAGCGACCGCTCATGCGCAGGAGGTGGTGGGATGCGTACCAGTGAGCCATGGTCTCCCACAGGGGAGGTGCCGTGGCGCTGGTGGCTGTGCTGCCATGAGGTGGACGGAGGACACTGGGCAGGGGGCATGGATGGGGGTGCAGCGTAGTTCCTCTGGCCTGTAGAACTGGTGGAGCGGACGATCTTAATGATACAGCCATGCTTGTCCGCATGCTCACGGCTGTCCTCCGGACTGTGGTACGGTGGTGCCGGCTCAGGCTCCTTGGCCCCAAAATAGGCCTCTGTCTCTGCTGGTGGGATGCCCATTCGCTGCGTATAGATGCTCACCAGAAAGTCTATCTTCTTTTCCATGGACAAGACCTGTAAGAATGGAAGCTGTTGGCGGCGCCTTTGAGGAGAGGACCCAGGATGCACCCAGGGGAGAAGGGGCGAAGGAAGGAACCCAGGTACGGGAACCGCCCTTCCCTCTACCCCAGACTCCCAAAGCTCAACCTCTGAGCTTAGTGTGTGTCTGAGCTCAGGCCAGCTCACAGAGGGACTCAGGTGGTATCTCCTAAGGATGCATTTCCAGCAGGGTGAAGACGAGTACTGGGCAAGGAAAAGAGAAAGGGAAGAAGTAGGGCCATGTGCAACTTCAGGCAACTTCCTGCTGCATCTACCCTTATTCCTGGGCTACTCGGCAGCCACAGGTTAACAAAATGAGACTGAGAGAGAGAGCACAGAGGCCATTCCCCACCCAAGCTTCTCGCACCTGTTTCTCCACCTTCCCAAGCCGTCCCATCATGCTGGGGTCTTCGGGCAGCTCCGTCTCTGCTGGGCCTTTGGTGCGGTCCTTGTCTGTTATTGTTGGGCCCCGCCCCACAATCTGGTCCACTCTAGCGGGAATAGAGACCCAGCCCCCAAGTATGAGTTTGGGAGGGTGTGGCCAGGCCCCTGCCCCTTCTTCCTGGGCTAACCCGCAGCCCCCCAGATCTGGGCTCTGAGCCCTATCCAGAGCCGACCGGGGGGCAGCAGGTGCCAGGCAGATGGACGCTGGTGCCTCATGACCTCAGGCTGCCTCCTGACACCTTGGGTCCTGTTTCCTATCTGTTCCATCCCCATGGGATCTGGCACATTAACAAGGAGTAAAGGGAAATGTCTCCCTAGGGCCCTCCCTAGCATGGCTCTTCCCAGACCTGGGATTCACTGGTCCACAGCATACTTAGACCCAGGGGGTCAGAGGTGGTTGGTGGGCATCTAACCAAGTGATCAGAGTAGGGGAGGTTGTGCCTCTGCCCAAGTGCCACCCCCTGCGAGCTTTACTCCCACATTAATGTGCCATGGAGTTCCTTGGACCCCAATGGGTATGACAGGGACAGTGTTAATGTCTGCAGCAAGGACAACAGAAGCAGGGAGGAAGTGAGTGTCAGCTCCATGCATCAGAAGAAGGGAGAAGGAAACAAGAGCCACATAGGAATGGTCAAAGCACAACCAGGGGAGAGATGAGCACTGCCAACCAGGGATTTGTGAGGTGGGGGTGGGGGGTATACGCACACAAGTGTGCTGATGCATGCATGCAAGTGTGGTGCATGTGAACTCACATGTGGGGGGGGTAGACTCACACCCATGGGAATGAATGTGTGTGCTTGTAAAGTGTTGGGCGAGGTGAGAAACTCAACTGGGTTGATCAGTAATGATAGCATAATACCAACAAGAAGGGAAGAAGTTCCTTTGTCCCAGGGGAGGGGGGTTCCTATCTGCCCCGTGTGGCACCAGCAGATCCAGGCCATGTTATGTGAGCATGAGGAGAGGCTGGCAGGTGTCACAGGAGTGAGCATGGACTGGGAGCTTCAGACCACGTAAAAATAGAGCCCGTGAAGAGCCTAGAAGCCCACTGTATCCAGAGTGTGGCTGAGCTGTGTAGCCCCATCCATAAAGCACACGCCAGCAGGTGCATGTCATCAGGTTCTCCCTTAACTTTATACAAACTGGGGTGCCCTGCCTGCTTTTCTGGCAACTCCAGAGGGAGGTGCAGGCTTGCATCAGCCAGGGGCAGCTTCTGCATGCTCCACTGGACTCGTGCTGGGCTCATGCAAAGGAGGGTGGGAGGGATGGCGGGGGGAATCAGTGACAATGGCAAGGGAACAGGTTCCCTGTTGTCCCGCTGTCCACACGGTCCAGGCACAGGTGCACAGCCCCTTCACCCTGCCACATGATGGGCCATCTGCCCGGCGGATCTCAGGGGTGGGCTTCAAGTTACTGCAAGGTAGTCAGACAGGGGTCCTCTGCAGACCTGTGCCACCTCCTCCCCCAAGGTTCAGGCTGGGGCACCAGACTCAATCCCTGGGTGCTGCTCACCTCTTGAGTGAGAGAGCAACTGTGCCCTAAGACCTGTCCTGTGTGTGTGTCTGTCTATCACCCGGCTGCAACACAGGAGAAAGCGGAGAGGGCTCTGAGGTCTGCAGGGCCTTCCCAGCCTATGCCTGGATGGCCAGCTCTACCACAACTGTCAGAAAGACCCTGGGGACAAAACGGGCTTCAGTGTTTGGCAGATAGTGTCATGGGCCACTCTTAGTCTGGAAGTCATCTGACCATCTACTGCCCGCTCCCCCGGGGTCCCTCTCTCATGGTATGCTCATCACATTGACCTATGTGCTCATGAGCAGCAACCCTGGCCCAAAAGGGCAGATGCTACATATGCCAATTCCAATTTCCCAAACTCTCTGAGCCACCCGGAGCTCTTCTGCCCCCAGCTGACAGACAGGGCAGTGTCTACCTGCCCTCTCCGAGCCTGCTCCTGGGAGCTTTACTTTTCCTAGACAATCAGGCCCACCAGAGGGAGACGGAATTATTGAGTGGTCACAAGGTAACCAGGTCTTGAAGTCTCTACTAACCACACCAGAGCTGGCTTTTGCCATCTGACTATTCCCTGGCCCCATCTGTCATCTGTCAATCAACTGAAGGGCAGAATAAAGTGGGCTGCCATCTTCCTTCCTTCCTTCCTTCCTTAAAGATGTTTTTATTTATTATGTATACAATATTCTCCCTACATGTATGTCTGCAGGCCAGATGAGGACACCAGATCTCATTTTAGATGGCTGTGAGCCACCATGTGGTTGCTAGGAATTGAACTCAGGACCTCTGGAAGAGCAGCCAGTGCTCCTAACCTCTGAGCCATCTCTCCAGTCTGCTGCCATCTTTCTTATCTACGACATCAATGATAGTGGTGGTAACTTAAAATAACACCAGAACTGACAGAGTCAGCTTGGTGGTGGGTGTACTATAGGGGATTTTCTCATTTATTTCTGCCCCCTGCGGTGCTGGGAATTGAACCTAGGGCCTTACACATGCCAAACAAGTGCTCTAGCACCAAGCTACATCCTCAGCCGTCACTATTCTTCAGAACAATTTAGGAGGCAGGTGCATCTCACATCCAAGGAAGTAGCCCAGGAAAGTAAACCCTTCTGCTTTAATCTACACAGAGCCAAGGTGTGTGTGGTGGTCACCCCAGTAATGGGCAGGTATGAAGGGCCTGAGCTGGTCAAGGGCACAGTGTCCTCTGCTTTCGTAGCCTCACCAGATAGATAGAGAAGTCCACGGAAAGGCAATCCCTGTAGATGGAGGACTCGGGGCACCACCTAACAGCCCTGGCAAAGAGTAGCCTTTTCTCTAACATGCCCTTTAGGAAGAGAGAGAACCTGAATGTCCCCTGCCCTGCGGAAAGAGAAGTGCAAGCTGCTGCCATCATGCGGCCGAGAGCAAAGGGGCTGGCCATTCACAGAGGGTTGGGAGAAGGCAGTGCATCCTAACCTAGGTGAGTACTGGGGTGACTCTCTCGAAGGGGCCGTGGGTCCTTTGGTAGGGTACTTCTTGTGCCGGGGAGTTGAAGGGGGTGGGGGGCCCACAATCATATCTATCCTGGCAGCATAAACAAGAAGAGAGACACCAGCAAAACACATCATAAACAACCCAAGGCGACTTGCCGGGCATGCACAGAAACATGGAATAACGTGACAATAGTGATTCTTCTGAAAAACATGCTCAAAACAGAACAGTGGACCCGCACTGTGGCCCTCACATCTGCCAGGCTTCTCCCATGTCCCAAGAACCATCCAGCCTGCCCACTGAGCCTCAGGTGGAGTACGGGATGCATTGGTGCTGGGCGCTAAGTCCCACAAAGAGACTCTGCAGCCACAGAGCAACCGAAGTCTGCATCAGAGCCCAGAAGCACAGGGCTCCTCGCTGGGGTCTGTTTCCCAGACAGGAAGAGGAGGAGCGGGGACATGTGGGGTGAAAGGCTGTGGAGCAGAGAGTTGTGGGGCTGGGAAGGCATTTGGCTGGAGGCTGGGGATTCTCACTCACCCACGTGCAGCATATATAGAGTTTCTTCTGCTCTGGGAAAGTTAGAGGGGCCCAGACTGAACTGGGGACACCTGCCTGGCCTCCACTTAGGAGAACAGCTCATGGCCTAGAAGCCCTACTATCTTGACACCTGCCATTGCTGCAACTTTCTTTGACCCCAAGGAGTCCACCAAGCTGTCTTTATGCTCCTTACTTTCTAACTGAAACCCATCCACCATTTCCAGGACTGGAGAGCAGGGTGTGCCCCCCCCTTAGGAGACAGGTTCGTCCTATGTATCACAACACACACGTGTGCTAAGGATGTGTGCCTAGAAACATGCGGAGTAGGGACATGCTGGAACAGTTATGGACACGGTCTGTGCATATACCTGTGTGCTCCTGCACATGGGGAATGCATACTTGTATGTGTGCATCTGAGGATGTGTTCCTGTGAGCGTGTTGTAGGTAGGTCGAAACAATTATGGACTTGTGTCTGTATGTGTACATCTGCATACGTTGGATGCATGTGTATGTGTGGGTGGACTCAGGCCTTATTCATGTGTATACTATGCATGTGTATATGACTTCTGGAGTTAGCAAGCCTGTTCTTACACGCAGATAAGCCAGTGGTTGCCTCTGATGTCCTCCCTACTCAGAAAGTAGGACCCCATCATGAGGAAGCAGATAGCTGTATCTTGGAGGAACAGCTCCAGGGTCCCCAGCCACTGACTGGCAGGACCCACAAGAATCCCTGTGTTTCCATTTCTTCACAGAAACACTTCCATCTCAGCACATATGTGCACACCACACACATGCATACATATTCACCAACACACACATGCTATACACAGCACAGCACATGGTGCTCGTGCATACACCCACACATCATATGCACATGTTTGCACACATATATGCACACATGCATGCACATGAGTATATTCAGATGCCCACACATGTACACATTCACACACATGTGCACACAGATATGCACTGGACACACACACATATACACACTTGCTACCACAGTGCAGGTGAGTGGGAGAGAAAAGGGAGGGGCAGAAAAAATACCAAAGACAGACACAAGATAGTGTGAAAACACAGCAGAAAGCAACAAGAAGCCAACAAGGTGGGAAGAGACCTCCAATGGTGGCACTGGCCCTGTTCTGCACACCTGTCACCCAGCCCTTGGTGCCCCTTGTGCCACGCCTGGTTTTGTCCCGGAGGGCCCTGTTCATGCCCAGACTGGACAGGCAGGGACTCTTGCCTGGACTGCAGGCTCTTGATGCGGGACAACATGTCCAGGTGTCCAGCCGAGTACTGTTCAATGACATCCATCACGTCATAGGGGCGCAGACTCTCTTTGAACTTTCGCTTAGACACCAAGAACCGCATAACACTGCAGAGATGGAGAGATCATGAATTCTAGACAGAGGCTATACTGCCAGGGGCCAGTTCCCATATCCACCTGCCTGTCACCCTCAACACCACAATCCCTGGGAAGTAGTACCCATTCTCATCTGGGAAACCCACTCACCCTTCCCCACCACGGGCCAGTTACTGCTCAGCCTCAAGACAGGTCCCATCCTCCTTGGAGCCACTGGTATGGGGAGGCTGTTATTTGTCTGAAAAACCCTCCTGCCCTTGGCCTCTATCTCATCAATACAGTCAGGGTCTGAGCTCTCAGGTTCGAGCAGCTCCACCAGGGTTCCCTGGCCCTCTGGGCACAAGTTGACAGATAGAGGAGCTAGAATGGGCAGGGGTTCTCCTCAGGACTCTCTGTGCTTTGCTAGTAGTTGTGGCCTTTGGTGACTCAGTAAGACCCCATGAGGTCACTGCACAGGGCCCTCTCAGGCAGATTGAGCAAGGGTCCCTCACCATACAGCTCTGATGCTGACTTTGAGGCCAGGGGTGAGATCTTCGGTCACGAACTCGCAGTTACAGCTCTTGTTGTCCTCCACGATGTCTTCCCCGGGGAGGCTTGCTTCTGGGTGGAAGGGAGCGCAGACTATGAGCAGACAACCATGGGGCCCACTCAGGCTCCCCCACATCCCTTCAATGCCTCTGCTGCACTGCAGTACCCGCCCCTGCCTCTTCTCCATTAGCTATCACCTGCACAGAGGAGGGTTTAAAAGGACATCCCTGCCAACAGATGAATGGATGACCACATTGTGGTCACTGTTCAGCCAAGAAATGAACGAAGCTATAACACTCGACAATACGGATGATCCTTGGAGACACCATGGCCACCATGGACCATATGAGGCTCGATATCATGCATGTGGCATGCACAGACTGGAGGTGAAGAGAAGCAGGTATGGCGTCCTGTGATGGAGAGGGCTGGGTGATACCTAGAGGGTCCGGGGCTTCTCGGTTATCTGCAGAGGTCGCACCGCAAGCGATGGAATTACAAGACGCCAATGAACGATGTGTGTTAAAGTGGATCATCTCACATGACGTCACTTAAAAGAATAAGAGTGGGGGCTTCCCGCTCCAAGAGACTTCCATTTGCACCATATAGCCAAGTGCTGATGCCCGTCCCCCAGCAGCCTTGGGGAAGGTGGTGCTGACCCACCTTCTGAGTTCTGCCGGGATGCAGCACCCTTGATACGGAAAGCCTGGCGTGCACGGCTGCGGTCACCAAAGCTCCAGCTCTTGGGCACCTTGCTTGGGCTGTCGTCGAGACTCTGATCAGCACTGGGGGACCGCCGGACCGTCTGGGCCTGGGGAGACCCCTTCCCCTTGGCAGCCACGCCTCGGGGGCTGGAGAAGACACGATCTTTCAAACTGACCTTCTGACTGTTCCCAGGATAACCATTCAGCAGACAGAACGGGCGGGCAGACAGACAGACAAACAGAAAAACAGCAAGAGAAATCACTCTGGAAATAACAAGTCACGTCTCTTTGAGACTGATACCCCCACCCCACCCCCAAGCTAGGAGGGAGATGCAAGTCCAAAGAGGAACCGACCACGCCAGGAACAGGGAGCAGTGGCTGGTGAAGCACGGGGGAAGAGGTGAGGTGCTGCACAGGTGTGGCCAGACCTGGGGAAGCAACGGCGGGACTCCTGAATCATTCGGCTAACACTACAAGGTGCCAGAGCTCTCTCCACACTGTCCTGTCCGGTTCCCCAAATGACTCTTAGACACATCCCCATACACTTGAGACTGGATCTCTTCCCTGGACCTTGTCTGTACTGACCCAGCCAACAGCTTTCCCTGTTGCCTGTGCCAATGTCTCCACCATCATCCTACCACTTCCCTCTCTTCCAGGATCACCAGAAATCAGGGCTACAACTAATGTGTCTAGTTCCACCTTGGTTCCAGCCTTTTCCGTGAGTCCCAGAAGCTGCCTGGCCTCTGTGTGGCCCAACACTGTCTGGTCTCTGGACTTCAGACCCCACCCCCACCCCTGCCAGGATGATTCTAGGAGGACATCAGGGATGAGGTTACTCTGAGGCTAGGCTTCCATTCACTGTCACAGGACTGGCTGTCCCAAGCCTCGGCCGGCCCCAGGCGGTGGCTGTAGAAATGGAGTAATGATAGCCAGCCCCTGCCCAAAGTTCTTTCCCACTGGGCTGCTGTTTCCAGACTCTAGAAGGTCCTAAGACCTCCCTCACCCTGTGTTTCTTCATAATCCAGAGTTCAGCAGCTCACTGTGATCTAGACATCAAGAGACAGAGAGTCTGTGACTAGGTTGCTCCAGACAGAGGTGACCTCCACCACTACTCTGGGGGCAACGTGCCTCAGTCCAGGCTAGTTACTTTTTTCTACTGATGACCCCACCGTAACTCCAGAGGCAGAAGGCAGCGAGTCTCTTGTGAAGTGGGACTCACATGTTCAGCCACATAGGAGTCACAGGACTTGCAGGAGTAGCTGCAGACGGGGCCCATGCCGATTCCTGACAGAGTACTAAGAGTAACTCCCAGGAAGTTTCAGTGTTCAGTATTGCTCATCAATGCCTCAGAACCCAGCTTCACACCCAGCTACAGTGCCCCACCATGGGCCACCAGCCAGAGACATGTTCAGCAGACATAGCAGAGCTGACCATTGCAGAGAAGCCACCGTGCTAAGCCCATCCACTTTGGACTGTGGATGGAGCTAGTGGCCCTCCCCACCCCACTGGGACAGTAGGTCACTTGGGAGACTATCCTTGCCTGCTCAAACTTTCTAAAGAAGAAGGAGAAAGAATAGGATGTCAAGATTCAAAATGTCCTGTGTCCTGGGGGCATCAGGAGCCAGGGGCTTCTGCTAGCTTTGGAAAATGACCCTGAGTCTGGACTTCTGCGTTAAATACTGGAGGCCACACATAGGCAGTTGGTGGCCAGGGACACCCAGAATCCACATGACTCTCGGACCCCTTTCTAAAGAGAAAAGTCTAGTTGGGTCTAAGGAAAACTGGATATTCTAGGGTCTGTGGCTTCCATAATGTTCTCTCCACCTGGGGGCCCCTCTATCACAGGAACTATCCCAGGGAAGACAGGGTAGGAGCTAGGCTGGGGGAGCTCACATTTCCCAGTATCACTCAGGGGCTCTTCCTCTATCCCGCCCCCCTCCACCCCCACCCCAGCTCACACACTGAAGGAAGGGAAATGAGTCACCACTAAGTAGCCTGGCTTTGATCACCGCGAATCAAGTTACAGAGCTGCCTTCCTGCTGGGGTCCCAGGAGTCACCCAGTGTTGCAACAATTTATAATCAGTGTGCATTTAACTCCGGCTGTCAGTCAGACTGAGCTGGTGAGGTCAAGTCAGGCTCCCCCTGACTCCCGGCCCCTGACTCCTGTTACATCAAGAGGGACTTAAGCAGGTCCCTTCGGGCGGATTACCCCAAGTCAGCCCCTTTTCCTTCCTAGTAGTGATTTCTTCCACAGCCACCAAGAGAAGTTATCAACCACACAAATGCAGGCCTGGACTCCAGCCCTACACAGGGCTGCAGCCCACAGCAGAGATACAGCTGCCAGGAAAGGGACCCCCACCCTTAATCTTGGTTCTTCAGTCTCCAGCTCTTCATGTTGTCTCTTCCTTAGAAGGAGGCCCTGACAGAAAGGAACAAAGTGGATTGCTGTTGCCAGGACATCTCTAGGGCCTGGATAGAGGCATGGAGTCTAAGGAACTCCCTCTTACCTCCCAAGTCACCAAGCCAAGATCAAAGCAAACATCGGGGAGGAGGCTCTCCAGAGTGACCCCAGAAGCCCCAGCAAGTGAGCCCATGAACAGAACTATCTGTGTGTCACAGGCATGACATCAGCCAGGAGTCAGTTCAGGAAGACAGACTGGGGAAGCAAGCAAACCCCAGCCTCTTTCTTCCTGTCACCCTCCCCAGAGTTAAAATTACAAAAGGAAACCAGCCATGAGATGGTCCTCGCCCTAGTCAGTGCATGGGGACCCAGACTCAGCAATGCAGGGAGCCAGCATCCACAGAGAACTGCCCAGCTTGTGCTGGACCGAGGATGCCCAAGAGACAGTCTACAAGAACACGTAGGGCAAGGCAGACTTTGGCTGGGCTCCTGCAGGCCCATCCTTCCCAGCCCTCCTGGTCTTCAAGCAGCCTGACCTTAGCCTCTGCCCTGAAGGTCCAACCTGTGGCCAGAAGCACCTGGACACGAAGGCCATGGGCAAGCAAGGCAGTTTCAGCCAGGGCCTCAGCAGGCTGCCTCACAGGGCAGTGCAGACACCCGGCTCCCTGTCTACAGCTGCAACATTCTCCCCACAAGCACCCACCTCCAGCACACAGTCAGCAGAGAGGCCCGTGGGGGCGTGGAGGTGGCCTTCAAGCCCCTCTCCCAGTGGAGAAGGACACGGAGCATGCACGGGTGCAAATGCACAGCATGCTGCTCGGCACGGCCGGCCACATGCACACGATGGGGGCTCCCCCATGCGGGGGCCACCACAGCTGCCTGCATATGGCTGGGTTGCACCAGCCAAAAAAGGGACAGGCATGGGAGGGCAATCAGGAGGCAGGGGCCCCAGAGCAAGCAGGACAGATGCCTTCACACATGGACAACAGACAGGGGGATGGGACAGAAAAGGTGTAGTCAAGGTGCAAAGGGTTAGGAGGCTTTTCACTATCCCGTTTCCAGTCTTCCCTAATCCAGGCCTGCAAGTCAGAAGGGGGAGACATGGCCTTTGGCTTTTGGAGGTCCTGAAGGGCCCAGAACACAGCGAGCTGCCTCCCTCAGTGAGGTGCCGGCTAAGGTTCGGTCCTTAATGCCTAGTAGAGGTACCAGAGTGGCCGGCCCCAGAGGAAATGTTCCTTGAAGGACATTGGACTGTTTCTAGAGCAGTAACCCTGGCCAGCCAGCCCCCTGCTCTGACAGGAGGGGGCTCTATCTAGAGTCAGAGGCCAGGCGCCCAGCTCCGCCCTGTGCTTAGGCATCAGGGAATTCAGAGTTGGGTGGGCACTGTGCCGGCTCCTCCTGAACCTCTAGTAAGCAGGGAGGGCAGGAGCGTGCAGCGTGGTCAGTCCGTGCGAGCATTGCGTGGTACCTAGAGTGTCCGGGGCAGCATCCACACAGGCACCCTCGGCACGGTCTGCCTTTACTGGAAATGAGGAGAGCATAGTTAGTCCCGGGGGCGGCGACAGGACTTGAACAGAGAGCAGGTAACTGAGGCACTGTGACCACCCGGGGAGTTCAGGCTCACAGTCCCCCAGCTGCAGTATTTGCGCCTGAGCAGGGACAGAGAGAAAGGGGTGCGCGCGAAAGTCTTCCGCGGCCTGGGAAAGAAAACAGTTTTCTATTTTTGGAGAAAAAGAACCCCTGTGGTTTTCCTCCAAAAATACCTTTTCCTTCCAAAGCCAGAGAGTGTGGGTTCATGTTTTAAGAGATGTATTATTTTTTGCTATATACATGCCAACAAAATAATAATAATACATGAACCAAGATGTTGCAGGAGGCCAGATGTGGATGGAGATAGTCTGGGATGTGACCGCTGCAAAGCATGCGCCTTTTAGGGAGGGAAAAATGTGCAGTTTAGCTTAACAAACTGAACGGCAAGCGGCGAGGTTTTGCCACACCAGCCTATGGCCCTGTTGGCAGTGGACTTTGATTTATCCAGGAGGCAATGGCTGCCCCCAGTTAGAAGGAAGCTCAAGAGAGGAGGCTTGGGGACACACTCATATTTAGGACTGACCAAGTACATTCATCTGGGATTCCATGAGTCCACCTTTTTGCGATGACCTGGGCCAACAGAGTTCCAAAGAGGTACCTGAGATACCTTAGCAAAATCCTAGCAAACACTGGCCCTTTCCAAGAATCCCTCCAAATTTTTGAGATTTGTTTTGCATTAGAACATGCAAAAAAATAAGTAAAAAAAAAAGAAGAAACAAAAAAGGAAGAAAGGAAGAAACGAAAGAAGGAAGGAAGGAAGGGAGGGAGGGAGAGAGGGAGGGAGAGAGGGAGGGAAGGAAGGAAGGTAAAAGTAAGAAGGAAGAAACTGGTGTCTAAGGCGAGCCTGGTCTACAGAGTGAGTTTCAGGACAGCCAGGGCTATGCAGAGACACCCTGTCCCGAAAAAGAAAAAAAAAAAAAAAAAGAAAAAGGGAAAGGGAAAGAAAAGAAAAAGAGAAAATTACAAAAACACTTTTTTTCTCCAGGCCTTCTTCCTGTGTAGTTATAGCAGCGCTGGTGTAAACTGCGCACCTGAGGAAAGCAGCCTAAAGGACTGTCTCAGATCAGAAACAAGCCCCAGAAAGCCACTTACAATCTCAGCTTTGTGTCACTGACGTGTGAGCCTCTCCACTTAGGAACAAAGGACATACTTCACTAACTGGCGTAAATAGAAATTAGAATTGGAGCTAGATTCTGGAGAGCAGGCTAGCCCCAAACTGTTTGCATTTCTGCCCCGGCGTCCACACACGTTTGGCACTCTAGGTAGGTGAGCAGCCTCAGGCGCTCACACACTCTCAGGATGTAGGACAAAGACTGAACACATCCTCACGACCTGCTACAGGGTGCTGCTGTCCGGAGCATTCCCTATGACTTGACCCAGAGTTAAGCAGCAAGTGAGCACCTAGCCCCTTGGGCCATAGCCCTGTGTCAAAAGACAGAGGTGGTTCATTCCTACACCTTTGACAAAAGTCCCTTTTGTTCCCCAGCTCTCTGGCTTCTTGAGAAGCCAGGACCTGAGGCCTAGTTCTGCAGTAGAGACCATCTCTGATAGTTGTGCTGTCTAGTGGGGTAGCCACTGACCACACCTGGCCACTGAGACTCAGGAATCTACACCAACTGTGTCCGTTTTAATGAATGTTGCAAGTGGCCGGTCGTTCCTGTCTGGAGAAATGCGGTTTGAGAGCCTGACAAGATCTGAGGAAGAGGAAGCTTCTGTTCACAGCCTTCTCTGATTGGTGGGTGTCAAGGATGTGGCACTGTCCGATCCCTGGGACCCCGTTTTTCTGACCCATCAGCAATGTGAAGCTCTGCCGTATCTGTGAATGACTGGTCGATCTCAATCCCACGCAGATACCAACTGGCCGGCCCACAAGGAACCCAAGTGGGGGAACAGATATGTCCACAGACACCGGCTCAGGCCAAACAGGGCAGATGGGCACCAAGACACACAGACACTTCCATCTGTGAAGAAGAGTGGATCCGTATGGACAAGAAAGGCAAAGCTGAGGTTAAGGACTCCTCTAGGCACAGGGTAGGAGACAATGAGGAAGAGGACAGGCCCACAAAGGACAGTCACAGCAAGTGCAGTCACAAGAAACACTGATACAGCACAGGCCTGAGCTCCCACCTGCCCTGGATCCCCCAACCCAGATGTCCCTAGTGAGTCCAGCCTAGTCACGTGGGTCTCCTCAGGAACCAATCCCCCCTACACCTTTGTCCTGAGTCGTAAGACACTGGGAAGGTATCTTCAGGCAGCTGAGGAAGAGGCCCTGGGGTCACACCACCCACGTGCCTAGATAGATAATGCTAGCTAGGACTGCCAGGCAGTATCTGGAGCCCATCAGAGCATGGCCACTGACTCCTGCTAGACTACAGCTAGTTGAGTCCAAGGATGGAGAGACTGGGGAACTAGGCTTGCCCCCACACACTCAGAATTTCAAACAAGGCTATTTTCACTTAAGAAGCAATTTCCTGCATACTTCCTATGTTCTTGATGCTAAAGAGAGGATATAGCTGCTCATGGCAGAGGCTAAAGATACCACTCCGCCCTCCATGACCTGGCCAGCAGGTGTACAACCCAATGAAGGCGTTGGGGTCTCCCTTGACAGAAGCTGTTCCTCACTCGCTCCAACACTCAGCTCTCCAGGTGCCCCAACCTCCTTGAGGAGCCCAGTGTCTGTGCAAAGGTCCTGCACACCCTTCCCAGGGATGGCAAACTGCTGCCCCAATTGAGCGTTTTGGAAGCAGGGCGTCCTGGGAGGAGGACTGGGTTGGTGGGCGCTGGCCCTCAGGGAAGGGTGTGGAGGTACAGGCAGGCAGGGGCCACTGACACGCGGGGAAGACAGAGGAGTGGCAGGGTGGAGAGCGGGGAAACCATGGAACATACCAGAGAGCCGGGGGGGCTCCCGTGGGTCCTCACCTTGAGTCCTGCTTTCAGGGTCAGCACCTCATCCCAAAAGACAGAGCAGACGAAAAGGGGGCCCAAGAAGGGCAATGACAGTGATTAAAAGCACTTGGGGGCAGCAAGATTTTCCAGATGGGGGCAGAAGAGGAAGAGAGAGAAAGAGAGAGGCTGAGACGAGGATCGCGCAGGGCGTGCTAAAGCTATGGCAACAAGCGCAAGAAACTGCGGGAGGCCAGGTGCCTCCAGCGCTGCTCGCTCCCAGTCAGGGTGCGAGCCTCAGGCAGTCAGGGTAGTTTGGAGACGAGACAAAAAGTCTGGACCCATCACCAGCAGGACAGTCTTGGTTCACCTGGGGCACGGCCGAGCATTAGGCCAATCTCAGCCCTGGTGTCCTAGCCCTGGGGTCATTGGAAACAGGGCTGCGCAAGGAACAGAGCAGAATAGCCCTGATGGACAGTGAGGAGTGAGAGTGGGTGCCCGTGGACAGTGAGGCTGCTAGTGCTGTTTTACCCACGCCAAGGCCAGGCGAGGCCGGCTCGCCTACCTTCACTTGTCAACAACCACGACCACACTAGACTCTCGGCTAGCTTTCTCGGTGGCCAGGGTTTCCCTTCATTGGTTGTCCATTGAGGTGATTTGGGAAGCCAGTGTTTGCCACTCGGACAACCACACATGAATTCTCCTTTTGTATGGGAGGGTAGGACGGTGTCCTTCTCCAGGGGACAGCGGACAGGTTCAGCCTAATTCTACGCTTCTCTGCACAAGAGCAGTTTATTAAAAAATATATTCTAGGTTACCCTGCTATCCGGGGGTCAGGGGGGCACAAGAAGGCAGGCCTAAAATCTAGGGGCCATATCCACACTGCACCTTGTGGACAGGTCACTTGAGGGGAGGGACAACTCAGCCTAAAGGCCTTGGAGACCCAGGCAGATGCACACCGAACTCAAAATCTGTGAGGTAGTCTCTCTTTGCTTATAAGCGCCATGACAACATGGTCTGTGTCTGTCTTTACCAAGCGATGCTGACACTGGATCCCCATCTAACCAGCCTGAGCAAATGGAGCCTTCTTGGAGGGCAGCAGGTATCAGGAGAGGGAGCAGCGAGGTGGAAATCTCCATGGAGATATGAGAGGGGATAGGGCACCTTAACCTCTCTCCCACCCCGGGGGGCTATCAGGGTAGCAAGGTTCTCTTCCCCTCTGCCAGCATCTGGCTTGATATCCCCCCCACACACACTAGACTGGTGAGAAGGACACCTGCTTGGGTTGCCAGTTGGGTCTGCAAATCCCAGCAGCCTACACAGGAATCAGCCTCAGAATCCCATGTGGGCAGTGGTGGGGGTGGGGGGGATGATCCCAAGAAGCCCCACCCTTCTGCTGCCCAAATCCCTGTAAGAAGGCTGTAACTGAGCAGTGACTCCGGATGTGTGTCAGGACACACTATCACACACTGCACACAGAAGCACACGCAGGGCCCCACGGTAGCCCCACCCCATGGTACATGGTTTACACAGAGGGAGCAAGGCGAGATGGGCGCGGCACACACCAGGGCAGCTGGAGGCAGGAGGGACTGACCTTGGTGATGGTTCTGGTTGTGGCTCCTTCCTTCAAACAGAGGAAGAGAGAGTTAGCAGATACCCCCTCTGATAGCCCCATGGCACCCCTGGGATCCCTCCGATCTACTCAGGCCCTGACACCTGTCATGTCCATAGGCTGGGTTGTATGTTACAGGACCCAATGCAAAGAGTGGTCTTCCTAGAGTGCCTGACAAGGCCTAGGAGCAAGGCTCTGGGGAAGAAAGGGACTCCCAACGGGACTGAGATCCTCTAACCCAGAGGGCTCTTTTATTTGAGATTAATGGATACTCATTTCAGCAGGATCGTACCAGCATAATAATAAAATTACAAAAAGAAATGTGGTTGGAGAAAGCTCTTGACTTAATGGAATTTCCCTCCTTCCGTGCAGTTTTTCAGTGGTAGCGGGAATCAGACAAGGACTTTGTCACGGTCTAGAATCAGCATTTGTTTCAAGGCCAGTAGTCATCCCCCGGCCCTGGTCTACTTGCAGGCCTATGGTGGCCATTATCTGTTTTATTGGGATTGGTTCTTTCCGGTGGCAACACTGAGACGGTGGTTGTGTATTATTTAGTGGAGAAGGGAAAATGAGGAGTTAGCCCTGGTGCCCTCAGGAAGGCAGTGCCAGGCCAGTCTTTTGTATGACAAGGATTCGCCGTTACATTTCCAAATGTGCACAACAGCTATTGTACCTCTGACGTTGGCAGAGAAGACACAGCAGAGAGACGCGGTTCAGACAGGTTCCTGCACCTGCTTCTGATAAGCCCAAGCCATTGCAGTTCCCTCCACAGCCTCATGGAGGAGTCACACACCTGTGAGGGTCCAGTTGAGGTAACCCTGTGATCTTTCCCAGGGAGCCTGAACAGCACGGGCACCCCATCAACCCCAGCTGCATCTGGGGGCAGTCAGACATTCGAGATTTCCTTTCTTGACTCTGGAGGCTGCAAATCAAAAGTTAAGGTATGGGTAGCCACTCCTCCAGTGGACCAGGGAAATGGCTGCCTCTTTCAATTTTGGGGTTCCAGCTTATTTTGGTAAACAGCTTATTTCTTAAGTTTCTTCTTCCATCTTCCCCTTGCGTACATTCCGGCATTCTGTGTCTCCTCTCCTGACCTTCATGCAGACAGTCATGTAGATGCTGAGGCTTTTAACTTACAACATGAACAAGGGCCTTTTTTCAAGTTAAAGTCATATTCAGACATGTTTTGAGAGTTAGTGCTCATGCACCTATATTTGTGTGTGTGTAAGGTCTAGAATACACCACCCATCCCTCAATTCCTTAAGTCGCAACCCTCTGCAGCATCAACTCTGTTTAAAAAAAAATCACTTAATAAACCAAGTGGTGGTGGTGCACGCCTTTAATCCCAGCACTTGGGAGGCAGAGGTAGGCGGATCTCTGTGAATTCAAAGTCAGCCTGGCCTACAAGAGTTAATTCCATGACATCTAGGCTGATACACAGAGAAACCCTGTCTTGAAAAAAAATCACTTAATTGCCTGTTAAAACCACATAAATAAGGTTATCAAGACTCCAGTGTGGTTGTCCTGTGGAAAAGTCCTCTGCACACAGGCATGAATCTCAAAAGCAAATCACTCACTTAGGGGCTGTGATGGCAGGACAGACACAAGGTGACAGTTTCTCTCAAAATGGAAAGGTTGGTAAAGGGATCCCTCGCTATCAAAGTCTGAAATGCAAAAGGCAAATTCTACTCAGATTCAAGAGTTAGTAAAAGCTAACCCCCTGTTCTGTTAATCTCCACCTCTGCTGCTCTGACGACATACGTGACCACTGGCATCCTTCCTGCTTGTAACAATCTACAGAACCGCCTTCATTTCACTTGTCTCTGCCCTTTTCAGTCCAAGCTGAAGTGTCTCTGCTGCCCAGAAGGTCCTCTGTGTAATTCTGATGTGGCCCGAGGTGGGTGGCACTAGCCAGAGTCTTAATGTGGCACACTGAAGTGACCCATGATAAAATCCATTGGTCAGGAGAGTTTACTGTAGAACCCTGAAGGGGCTCAGCATGAACGACTTCAGTCAGAGTTCTCTGTGTGCCAAGAGGCAGTCCAGGAGTGGATTCCATTAGATATGAGCGCCCATTGAGAGCCTGAGGCAGCTGAGGAGTGGATGTCATTCCATGGAAGAGGCCTTTGCACAGCTTTCCCGGATAAGCACCTTCAAGCCTGACTTCCATCAAGATGAGTGATTGGCCCTGATTCACACACCGACTTTCTGCCTCACCTGCAGCCTACGCTCTGTAGCTGAGCAGCCTCTCCCTGAACTGCCTCTCCTCAGGCAAAGTCCTTTGCTGTCCAGACAGGCTGAGAACATCCCAGATTTCCAAGTTCAAGTTTCCCATAGGGGTTCCTCAACTTCTAAAATTTGACAATGAACATCGAGGAAAAATCAGGCAGTACTCTTCAGTACTTGCAGGAAAACTCCTCCAGTGGTTAACCATCCAAATCTACTTCATGATTCTGCATCCACCCAATGGGGAACAACGCAGGCAAGCCTTTGAAACTCCACCACAGGCACCATCTTTCTTAGTTTTCTTTGCTGACCTCCTTCTGAATGGTACCAGAAGTACCATCAGTATCAATTCCCATTTAGTTTGGATAGGAAGCATCTCCTTGATCATATCATGTGCTGAAATCTTGGTCCCCAGACAGTGGCTTTATTGAGACATGATTGAGTTAATCCATTCATGAGTTCAAAGTGAACAGGCTGTTAGCAGTACAGGGACTGTAGACAGAGACAGACCAGTGGAGTGTGCGTGTGAAGGGTGAGTCAGGTCATGCTCCTGGCTTCTTCCTGCCTCTCTCTTTGCCATCATAAGATGGACAGTTTTTATCCATCACGTTCTTCTGCCATGATGGTTCTGTCTTCCCACATCCTACAAGCAATGGAACCAACCAACCATAAACCGAAACCTCACTTCTTGGGGGACCTCCCCAAGTGTCTGTAACACCAATACTTCTGTCAGCCATCCCTTCAGGGTAGTGTGTGTTTGTCCTAACATGCACCTCGAACCTCTTCCAGCCCAATCATTACCCCCTTTGAAACTCACGGTCACGCTTTTGGGTATTTTTTACATCACCCCATTTTAGACTCAAAATTTGAGCTGTCGGGAGCTTCATCAACAGAACATCATAATCGAGCTGTTGAACCCACAAGACGTTACTCTCTTATAGTCATGGAGTAGAGACTCCAGACATCAAGGTGTTGCTGCATGTCTTCCACAAACTCCAGGGGAGGATGCACCTTGCCCCTCCAGGTAGCCTTCCTTGGCTTGTGGCTGTATCACTACAGCCTTTGCCTGTGTCTTCATTTAGCTTCCCTTCCCTGTGACTTACTCCAAAATCCTTCTTCTCATACGGACATTATGAACGCATCCAGGGTCCACTCAGAAAATCCAGGTGCAGAACGGTTGCTGAAGGTCACCTTAGCAGGTTCAGAAATTCCCATATATCTTCAGGAACAGGGCCTACTGCTAGCCCACTGCCACCCTCCTGCCCTTCCAAAGGTTCTTCAGAGACGGGAAGCTGCTTGGGGATCTAGCTAGCCCTATTGTCTACTTCTGGAGAGAGCAAGTCCTTCTTTACACCCATCACTGGTCCAAATATTGCGAGTCACAGATTCCGTAATTAAAGAACCAGTAGGTATTATGACATGTTGCCACCCAACACTGCTGGGACACTACTTCCCACCAGGGTCCTAAGCATGAGCCATGAATGGAGCCAGATGATCCATTATCAAATTCCACTCCTTACCCCACTCACCTTGGACCCATCCCTCAACTAGCTACTCTCTTAGGAGCAGGATCCTCAATCCAGATGCAGAAGTCACCAACATCATCAAGACTAGCAGTCAAGTATACACCAGTCCCAGGGCTTTTTGTCACTGGCCAAGGTTTGAGAGTCTCTCGGGAGACTCGGGTTGCTCACCCGGCCCAGTGTTCCAGCCTTAGGAACAGACTCTTAGGAGGAGACCCTGTGCTGACCTGAAAGTGAGTCCGGATTTGCTCTTCAGGTTCCTCAGCAGCTCCAGCTGGTTCAGAGGTGGGATGAGTCTGGGGCAAGAGAGGGAGAAGTGAGTAGGCCTAACCTTCACGAGAGCTGAGCCTCAGCTCTGCACATCCACATCCCCCTCACCCTTGGGAGCAGGCAGCAGATGCCAGAGCATGGGTGTGGAACACCTGCAGCTCTGAGCTCAGCGCCTCCACCTCTCCCAAGCTCCAGGGCTCTCTCTCTCTCTCCTCTCATGTTGTTCCTGGGGCCTCAGACACAGGAAATGGTCAGGACCCAGCATGGACAGCAGGCCATGGGGGCCCATCCCTTCAGCATGGAGTAGATCAAGAGCAGAGTTAGGATACCTCCTCCCTTGACCTCCCTTCCAGTCTACTTCCCTGCCCCTGACATTTTTCAAGGAGCCGCAAGCACGGCACCCCAACATATTCAAAGTCTCTTAAGTCCCCTGGGGGAGCTTCTTGGCTAGAATGGTATGGGGGAAGGTCACAGAAAAGGGCTTTGCCAGGCAAAGAGAAGCTCATTTCCGGGTCTATGGGATGTCAGCTTGGACAACTGAGGGGAAAGCTCTGGTATCAATTAGGTCCTGATGCCCTGGGGCCCTCATCAGGTAGCCTGACGGTTCCTTTTCCTGACCTGGCTGCACACAACTCTCAGCCCCATGCCTGGCCTCTGCCTGCCCGCCCTGGCACTTGGTCAGCCCATTGTCACAGCCACAGTCTCAGAGAAAACATGCTGCCATGTGGAAGGTGAATGACTCCCTTCCCGCATAGGGGTAAAAATCTCATCTCAACCCATTTTCATCCTTAGACCCTCAGCTTCCCCTGGCAAATGCCTTTTTTATAAAACTCCCCCCCCTCATTTTAGGATAAACACAGTGGTCCCTTGGCTCCTGTGACCCCAAGTCCTGACACTCTTATCCCGATTCTGACACTACCTGCTTTAGGACAGCCTTACTCTGCAGATCCTCTTCTATCTCTTTCAGTACTGACCTCCTGGAGTCCCAGCGACACACCCGGACCCTCAGGACCCTCGCTCTGTCCTTGTTCTTGTCTTTCATTCTTGGCCCCTCAGGTAAGAAACGCAGAACTTGGGTTCTTGTGCTTGGGTTCCTACAACACTTAGTCACCTCCTGGCCCATGACTGCCAGGCCTCCTCTCAGTGTGGTCATGGGAACCTCCTTCTGGAAATGTCCTCTCTTGCTCATCCTCCGCCTGCCTCACCTGCACTCTCACCATCTCTCTGCCCCACCCCACTCCATGAGCTCTTTCAATTAAGCCCAACCGTCTTGCTATTCTGCTCAAACATTTACTGGCTTCCCACCACCTCCAACACAGAAGGAACACTGGGTTTCCTGGAAAACTAGTCTTGCTCTTCAATCTTGTTCCTCCGCTCAGAGAGACCTACCCTGCACCTCTGGGCTTCTGTCCTCTCCTCCCCTCTCCCTTTACCCCAGAGGCACAGGCTCTGGCAAGGATACCTATATCTGGGCCCCTCCTTGCTTCATAGCCACAGCCCCAGAGCCAGACCTAGAGGGTCGCTGAAAATGTTGGGGGAAAAAAAAACCAGAAGCCCCATGAGCTTCTCTTCTTACCCATTTCTGCCTCCCCTCCCCCAGGCCATTCACTGTCCCTCGACAAGTCAGCAAGAAAGCAGGAGCCCAGCAATCAAAGTTAGAGCTGGAACCCCGAGGGCCTCCCCTCCGCTTTTTCACCCAGCCCTGGGGCCTGGAGCAGAGTCCTTGGCACAGTTATCTCCCTTGGACCCCCACAACCACCACCACATCAGCCCGGGTTAGACACATGTAAAACCAGTCCTCCCAGCCACACTGGACGCATGCCTAGGACACACAAAGCAGCCACCAGGGGAAGACACATGGAAGTGGGGCCGTGCACATAGCTGGTCACCCCTGAGCAGTCACAGAGGCTTGAGGGAAGGGCAACCACAGGAGAATACTGGCTGATCTGAGGATAGTCTTGGTCTCATGGGACAACTCCAGCCACACAGATTGGGGACAGTGTGTGGCGCGCGCACGCGTGTGTGTGTGTGTGTGTGTGTGTGTGTGTGTGTGTGTGGTTGGGGGCATCTTCTTTCTGGGTATGGTACTGGCTGGAGAAGATGGGCTGAGGCGAGGACACACGACTTCCATGTCCCAGGCGACTGGGAGCCCCAGGAAAGGCTGGACATTAGGATGCTACTTCCACAGCTGCCTGTGCCTCTGCCGTCTGGGAAGGAGAAATCCAAGGGCATTCCCAAGAGAACAACCCTTCTATTTTGAGAGTCCTAGTCCAGTCCCTACCCAAAAAAAAAGCTACAGAATGCAGCTCCAGAAAAAAGAACCTATACCTGCTCCCGGGCCAGGTCAGGAGGGACTTTATAGGGCTGTGCTGGTACGTGGGTCTTCCTCCAGCACGGGCACCATGCAAGCAGGGAGGGGCTGGCTCGCCTTGTACAGGTAGGGTAAACCTTCCTGGGCAGCTCAGCTGCCTGCACATGAGCAAAAAATAAGCTTCATGCTTCTCAAATTGGCCCTAAACACAGCAAGGGGGAGTCGCCACTCAAAATAATCTGTTTCCTGAGCCTTCACACTTTCTCCACTATGGTATTAAGGCTCCAGGGTTGTGGGGGAGACTCAAACTCTGGAAGGGAGCCCCTGGAACAGATGACCAGAGTATAACGGTCTGGGGTGTGCTCCTGGTCCCAGACATGGGTCTCTCAGAAGCATGGTGAGTCCTATGACCACCACTCTGCTCGTAAGTGGGGCTGTGGGGGTGGAGTGAGGCAGGGGTAGGGAATCAGCTGTAAGACAAGGCAGGAAGAAGCAGGCCAAGGAACAAGACACACCGAGGACAAGGGATCCAGCAACAGGAGAGCAGCAGCTGAGGAAGCAGGAGTCAGAGAGGCAAGATATGCTCACACTGGTCTAGAAGGAGCTACAGGTTAACACAGGGACTCCAGGCAGGGAGGGGCCACAGGGCGACAGGGTCCAACGATGGTAGCGTTAGAACTAAAGGGTGGGTACTCTGGGGTGGAATATAGGCTCTAAAGGGCTTGCCACACTCCGAACTCAGACAGACAAGAGCTACACACATCTCCCACCCCATGCATGTCCTACCTGGAGGCCCCATAGGTTTGAGTTTGCGAGCTTTCAAGGGTTTCACACACACACAGAGGGAAAAGAACCAAAATTTTTTAAAAGAACGGGATAAGAAAAAGAAAATGAAAAAAAAGTTGAGGGAAGTAGGGGAAACAACAGAATAAAGAAAATTAGCCCATAGCTCAGTCCTGTCCCAATGCCCTGCAAGGAGCATGGAGCTTGGGGCAGGGCCAGGCAAGGACTCAGGGCTCCAGAGGAGCCTGGGGTGGGTGCTGAAGGAGGAATGGCAGGGCCATCTTTGTCCCAAGCAATGCCCGGCTGTGACTGATGTAGGCAGAGTGGTGGGTGGTCTATCTGATCGTTGCCAGATCCCTGAAGATGATCCCCAGCCCAGGAGTCCTGGCAGAGCACTGTGCCCATGCCACCTGGAGGTGACTCGGATGGATAGAAACAGGTGGGATGAAATGCTCTGACAGAGGCAATGAAGCTGAAGCTGGTCCAGCCTCTTCTCTCTCACAGCACCCAAGGCGCTCTGACTTAAAGCATCGGGCCTCCCATCTTCACCTCAGCTCAAGTTTTGTGCACACAATTCCCAAGCCAGTGCTGCTACCTGACTTCTGAGCAGTGGCCCTCAGTCCAGCTGACACTCTTCCCTGGTGACCCCCCAGAAAGGCACTTCCTGACCTCTTCCTGCTTTTTAGATCCTCGTGGGGTATCCTGTGCTCTGCCTTGCTAACGCACGTGCTCACTCACTCACGCACACACACACACACACACGTGCACGCACGCACACACGCACACTCACGCACACACATGCTCACTCACTCACGCACGCACACACACTCACGTACACACATACTCACGTGCGCGCACACTCACTCACGCACACACACACACGTGCACGCACGCACACACGTACACTCACGCACACACATGCTCACTCACTCACGCACACACACACTCACGTACACACATACTCACGTGCGCGCACACTCACTCACGCACACACACACTCACGTGTGCGCACGCACACACGCACACTCACGCACACACATGGACACTCACTCACGCACACACACGCACTCAGTCACTCACTCACACATACCATCATCACCCTGGTCTCTTCTGGAGAACACAGAAGAATACAGTCACCACTGCCCTTCTTTGGCATTGCAGCACTAAGGCCATCACTCATCTCACGGAACAGCTTGGGGTGGGGATCACAACACAATGTTCCCCAAAGAGGAGTGGAAAGTAAAGGATGGGAACAAGAGTAAGAAATAAAAGCCACGACACTGTAAAACAAAGAACAAAATCAATACGGTGAAATAAGCCACACAGAATCCTTTGTGGAAAAATACATATGCATGGGGGAAAAAAAAGAAATAAAAATCAATGGGGTAAAGAACAAATGGAAATTAAAAAGCAAACCACCGTGCAGGGTGGGGAGGCCAGGCCTGGCGCGGTACCTGTACATGGGGACAGTGACTGTGCGCTCGTAATACTGCCATGTGGAGTGCAGGTCGGTGCGTGAGAGGTTAGTCGCATAGAATCTCCAGGCAGACTGCAGCGGAAAGAGGTGAGATGGTTGCGGCTGGGCTGAGGCTACCCCGCTCTAGGGACCTCATCGACATAGAACTGCAGCCCCTGTGCCTGTCCTCACCCCACAGCCTCAGGGTGTGGGAGATACTTGCTCTGGCTCACAGTGAGCCTTGGTGATCTTCCCTTCCGTCTCTCCTGACATCGAGTGGGTGACTTCATTGCCCTCCCCAGTCCAAACAAGACCTAACCTAACCCCATGAGACCTAGGGAGGGAGGTAAGGTAAGGAGGTAGCTCCTTCCTCCAGGCAAGATGGCGCAGGCTCGGTCTTCCTCACTGGCTCGGGCTTCTTTCCATTCCCTATACTTTGTTGTTGTTGTTGTGTTTTGTATATGCAACATAATCCACACAACATAAAGTCCATCACTTTGACTGCTTTGAAGTACCCACACCGTTGTCCACCATGGCCGCTATCTAACCACAGCTTCTCACCCTCAGAAAGGCATGCCCATCCGTCCACACTCCCATTCCAGCCTCCTCCCAGGCTCTGGCAGCATCAGCCTTTTAGTCTCAAGAGATGCAACTGCTATGGAAATTTCCTAACCATGATTATATGGTCTGTTAGTTTCTTACGTGGAGGGAAAGGCCCTCAGAGCTGACCTGAACTTCAGTGTGCACTCAGCTCCATCCCTTTCCTGATGAAACACTTAGTCGTACAGGTATGTCGCAGACACTTTAATCGTCCACCAGTGATCATAGCTATCCCGTATTCTGGCTGTTATGTATAGAGCATGATAAACATGGACGCTTTGGGCTGAATACCTGTCTTGGGTTCTAACAAAGGAGAGAGCGTGTGGGTGAGGAAACAATTCCATGTGTCATTTTCTTTTCTGTTTTTCTTTTTTCTTTTCGGTGCTGAGGGTAGATTCCAGAGCCTTGCACGTGGGAGCCAAGAGCTCTACCAGTGAGCCCAGCTCTGATTATTGTCTTCGGAGTGGTTGCTGTACCACACATCCCCTCAGTGATGTGTGAAGGCCCAATGCCACCAAGTCCCCACCAACACATATTTTCCATTTTTTAAAGTTTTAACCATTCCAGTGAGTGTAAAGTGGCATCTCATGATTTGATTTTCATTTATCTAATGACACAGCATCTTTTCACAGGCTCATGGCCAGTTGTCTCTCTTCTTGGAAAAATGTCTCTTTGAGTCCCTTGCCTCAAAACCCTCTGAGTTGTTTGTCTTTTTGTGATTGAGTTTTTGGAGTTCTTTATATATTCTGGATGTTAAATTCATTTCCAAACTTTTCTCCCATTCTATGGGTTGTCTTTTCATTCTTGAATGTCCTTTGAGGAACAAGTTTTTAATTTTAATGTTCTCTAATTGTTTTCTTTTGTTACCTTTGTGATTTTTGGTATCATACATAAAAGATAAAAACAATAAATCTTGTTTACTTCTAAATGTTTAATAGTCTTAACTCTTTTACTTAAGGCAAGGTCTCACTATACATCCCAACCTAGCCTCAAGCTCTAGATCTTCTTGCCTCCATCTCCAGAGTTCTGGGAACACAAGCAAGCACCACATCATTGAAAAAGAAAACAAACCTCCAAACAGAGTATGATGTCTGTGATACAGAACTTAGGAGGCTGAGGCAAGAGGATCACATGAGTTTGAGGCCAGCTTCTGTTCCAAAACAAGCAAAAAAGCAGTAACAATAACAAAACCGGTCTCCATTTGTCCAACACCATGGATTGAAACAGTTCTCATCTATAAGCAGCCTGCAGATGGGCTAACTCAAGTGGGCACTCGCTGTTCTGCTGGTGTACCTGCCCTTACATGAAAACTACACCGTTTTGATGATCACAGCTTTGTAATTTAGAAGCTGAAAGTGTGAGTCCCCATACTTTGTTCTCCTGCTTCAGCACTGCCTGGATATTCAGAGTCTGTCATAATTCTATAGACACCTTAGGATTAGCTTTTCTGTTTTTGCAAAAAAGGGGTGGAAGTCGTTGGACTTATGACCAATGCAATGGACCTGCATATCAATGTTTGGGAAGAGCATTTTAACGAGATGAAGTCTTCTAGTCCATGAACATGGGATGACTTACTTTGGTCTCCATCAATAATAGTTCAGTTACATCAAGCACATGGAATCCAGGTTGGCCAGACTGACTTCTACAGAATGGTGATACTTTGAGAGCTTAGGAGGCCCTGGTACCTCCTCTGAGACTCCCCTTCAGGCATTTTTCTGCTTGTGATCCAGAATCATACCCAAATGATAAATTTCTTGAAAAAACCAGTCTTTATACCCTTGCCCCTACCTCAAGGTTACTGGGGTCACCGCTAACCAAATCTTTGGCCCCCAAACATGCCGGAAGGCCAGCTTTACTCAGAGGAAGGACATTTTGATCAATTACTCTAAGGCCTTGCATCATAAATGGGTTGGAGATATCTTGAAGCTCTCGAAGCCATCTTGAAATCACAGGGAAAACCGTGCAGGTAAGGCAGAGAGACTTCACCCACAGATGTCCTCTGTCACTTGTGGGTAAAGCAGGGACAGCAAATGTTGTTGCTCTTTGGTGTCACTTCTGACTTTTGGAAGACTCATAGGCAGCTGCTTAATGGCCTTTGAGAGGAGTGTATGAGGAGATACTCAATTTTTGCTGCCTTCTGTTACACCTTGGATCCCGTGGGCATGCAGTCATTTTCTTTTCAAATGGGCATTCTGGTTTTTTGTTGTTGTTGTTGTTGTTTGTTTGTTTGTTTGTTTTTTGCAGTTACGAAACAGTAGCCATGTGTTTTGTGGTAAAAAGCTATGTAACACATACACAAAAAGAGGCTGGACCCAAGGTCGAATCTGTGAAGGCCACACCTTTAGAAAAGAGAGACAGATATAGGGCCACATTCAGCTGGCAAGAAATCCTGGCCAGCTCTAGGGTCCAGCAGAAATATCTGTCTTCTTGCACACATGTTCAGATGTTCTACATTCCATCTGCCCCTAAATGATAAGGCCAGCTGGATAAGCTCAGTGAAGGAAGGCACAGTGTCCACAGGCTGAGCAGCTAGGCTGAATTAGCACAGATGTGGTTCAAGAGCCACTTGATGCCAAACTGCCAACATCTCTAAGCTGTGGGTTTCATGGCTGCAGAACGGATATGATGAGACACTTACCCACAGGGCACTGGAAGGATCTGCATGGTTACTGGGACAGTATGGCCTTAGCCAATAACCCGCTGGGAAGAGGGCCAGCTAGCATCACTACCGTGAGTCACTGGATGTGTGTGACTTCAGGTTGTCTGAACTATTCTCATACTGAAAATAATCTTGTCTTCCAAACATGGATCTATCCATAGACATGGAAAAGCCTGGTACAGCCATTGTCAATACCAAAATCTTGGGGGGGGGGGAGGCTCCCTTCTAGGTAAGGTGGAATCAGAACGGGGGTTGGTCCTTGGCAGGGACTGAGGCTCACCTGGATCAGACCTGCTGCAGGGTTCCGCCGCTTCTCAAAGTGTTTTTGCCGGTGCTGCTCTTGGACTTTCAGAGCAAAGCCAGATCCCAAAATGCCCTGCAAGTCACTAAGGTCAGACCACACCCTGGGACCATGACCCTCCTCACCCTTGCCTACAAGGCTTCCTGCATCCTTGGAATTCCCTAGCACCTCGTCACCTAGAGACCAGGCTTGGGGGACTCTCTGGTCAGATCCCAAACAGGAGCCCTCCTAACCTGCTCTGTCCACAAGGCAGCTGCAGCCAGCTGCCCTCTGCCATCCCCAGTTGGCACGCCCATCCTAATCTGTATAGGGTGAATGAGGACCCCACTGTCTAGGGTCATTCAGATGGGATAACCACAGAAGTCAACAGAGCTGTGTCAAAAGGCCTGGCCTGGTATGGGACCTCTCTAGGGAATATGAACCCCATGGGGACAGTTCACAGGTGGCCTGTGGTCAAGTCTTACAGGGAGCCTCTGAGACACCCCCTAACATCCCTAGGGCAGGAAGGGGTGTAGGACTCACTGCAGGAAGGGCGAAGAATGAGACGCCAATGAGGGTAAATGTCGCGGCCAACAGCCTCCCGTTCCAGGTCTGAGGGTACTTGTCCCCGTAGCCAATGGTCGTCAGGGTGATCTGAGGGGCAGGAGGCTCCAGTTACTTGGGCAGACTGGCAATGGCCTACCAGAGGCCTTTAATCCCAGGCCAGACATCCCTGCTCAGTCGTGAGAAGCTCTCCCAAGTAGTTTGCTTGTATCTTTGGGGGCAGCTGGACACTGAAGCCACTCAGACTTGGGCTGGACAGACAGGAGGGTCACCCTTGTTACATAACGCATGTTAGGGCAAAGCAAGGCCAGGGTCAGCAAGGCTGTCCTTTATCCTTCGATCCTACCAAACCCCAATCTCTCTTCATTCCCAAGACTCTAAGGAACACTTGAGATGGGTGGGCTACACAGTACACACCAGAACCAAACAAGGACAGCAGTTGCCACCAGGCGAGGTGCTGATGTATCTAAGCCCCTGCTCTGTGCTCAGAAGTAGGGGGCATCAGTGGACTGATAGGAAGTGCAAGGATGCCAGGGTCCATAGAGGGCAAGGAGAGTAGGATTCAGGGATGATGGGGACAGTCTCTCAGGAGGGGAGGAGGGCAGTGGTGGCAGATAGGGGGTGACCAAGAATACAAATGAGTAGCAGTGAGGGGGCTGTATTTTAGGAACCAGCAAACATTTTAAAATACAAGAATTACTTCGAAACAATAATGATAAAAATGTTTGCTTCAGTTCTGGGAGAGAAGAAAGGCCTAGGCCCAAAAAATTCTGAAGAGAATGGACTGCATCACCCTCCAGGACCCAGGGCCAGCTGGTTACAGCTCAGATCTCCTGGGCGCCAAGCTGATTCCTGTGGCAGAGCCTGGGTACACAGACAGTCCAGCTGCTCCCGCCCTGTGCCCATCACACGCTCGCCATTGCTACTTACGTCCCAGCCTTAAATTCACTTCACTCCCACAGGCCTGCTCCTCCCCAGGAGGACATTAGGAAGATCATTAATAAACTACCCTGTGGCTTCATCCCCGGGGACGCTGTCTGATCCTCTCCCAGAGACTGCAAGTGCAGCACCTGTCTAGATCACCATCTCATGGGTTTTCAGGTTACAACAGCCTCTTCCCTGAGCCTCCAAGAAGTCCAGAGCATTGGAGTAGGAAGGACTACAAGAAACCCATTTCTCTCTAATTGGGATGGACTAGTGTGGTCTTCAGAAAAAAAGGGATCCAGGAAGCCTGTCATCCTTGCCCACTCCAAGCAGAAGTCCAACGGTGTCTAACAGTCCCTCTGAAAAGGGACAATGGCAGGAGACTTCTGGAGTATCCAGAGTCCAGCATGGGGGAGCCTCAGGCATAAAGGCCAGGTAAGGTTCTAGCATTTGGGCAGCAGCAAGTCGGGGTCACTGTCAGCAGGTTGCAGACCATCTAAAAAAGCCCCAGAGAGTCAGGGCCTCTTTGCAGTGTGTGTGTGTGTGTGTGTGTGTGTGTGTGTGTGTGTGTGTGGTCACTCAAGCTTTTATGTGGGTGCTGGCGATCCAAACTGAAATCCATGCTCTCACGGCAAGCAGGTGACGGGGAGAAAGGAACCCAGTCTGTCCACTACCACATCTACCAACACAATAACCACAGCACCCTCAACTGTCATCTCCATCATGACTACAGCCAGCCACCAGGGGGCCTCCAAGAGACATGCCCACCCCGGTCAGCCTAAGGGCTGTCAGGTCTCTCCTCCAGGTCCCAAGGGGCAGGGTATATCTTCAGGACAGCAGTATCAAGAGGACGTGGAGGAGGGAGTGATTCATGACCAGGACTTACCAGGCCCCACCAGAGTGCATCTGCATAGGTGTCAAAGTGGTCATTCTCACCCTTCTCTGCCAAATACACCAGAAAGGAAGCCAGGATGAGGCAGAGGAATCCGATGTACCAGGCAGTCACCAGTTCCTGCAAAGGCAGGAGAACATATCATTGCCCCACTCGGGCCAACTCGGACAATGTCAAGCGTGAGAGCCCTGCTCTGAACTGTGCACCTCAAGGGCTTTGGGAAGAGTCCCCTCGTGAGGCCAACAAGGTACAGCTAGAGTAGACACTGGTCAGGGCCGGCAGCAGGGCTTGTCTGACAATCAAGGGTGACTTCCGGCCGACCAGCACAACTCTTTCAACTGAATATTTTAGACCTTGGAGCAGAGCATCCAACAGCCCAGTAAACATCCTGTTCTTGGCTGGGAACACATACCCCAAGCCAGGAACTGATGTCCCAGCACTGGATACTGTGGAGATTATCCTCAAAAGGGGGTGCAGGCCTAAACAGGTATATACTCAGTTCCTAAAATTGAGAGTACAATGAAGGAAGGGAGAGACCAAGTTCCAGGGAGCTCAATTTCCCCAGGGTCCAGTGCCTGCTCCCACACCACCATGGCCAAAAAAGGGGGGGGCTAGCAGGATAGAGAGCATTTGACTCAATGAGTCCATCACGTGCATAGAGGCCCAAGAGTACAGGTCTTGGCCACTGAGAACTCCTTCAACACAGATCGTGTGCCCACAGTCACCCCATGAGTTACCTGGTCAGCAGCCACCACAAACCACAGCTTAAACAATCCCTACGCAGGTGATTCAGGCATAGTATCGACCCAGGCCCTCAGAACCAGGAAGGGAAACACTCAGCTACCGGGACTGCCAGCTATAGGGAGGACAGCTCAAACTAAAACTAGGAAACAGCTTCCGGGGACAGGTGAGGAAGGAAGGGGGAAGATCGTCCATATCTGGTCCCTGGTTACATCCACTTTAGAGCACCCCCAGACTTTGGAGCCAGGGTAACCAGCAAGACCCAGGCTGGGCCAGGGCTCACCTTGCTGTGAGCATATACCACGGATCCCAGGAGCTTCCAGGTGCCACCCCTCCGGTCCATACGGATCATACGTAAGATTTGCAGGAACCGCAGGCTCCGAAGTGCGGATGTGGCAAAGACATTTCCCTGGGAGCCGGCAGCCAGCACAGCAATGGACGCAATCAGCACCATGATATCTGTGGAGACAGGCACAGTGCCCAAGGTCACCTCCTCTGGACCCCCAAAGGATCAATGGCCCCATAGGCACACAAGATCATGTAGGGCCTGCGGAAGGGTGGTTCCCAGTACCCACCCTGCCTACCTGTGGTGTCCAGGGAAGACTGCCCAGCACTTTGTCCCTCCCAACATCTAGGCCCTGTCAGCCAGGGGCACCAACTCCAAGTCAGTAGTAAGAAAGGCTTCCACAAGACCCTCCCCTTTCACTCAGCCCACAGTGGCCAAGACAGAAGCAACTCCTGCCCCAGACCCAACTCTGGTGGCCATGTCGGCCAGGCCTCACCAATCACACAGAACGGCTTCCTGGCAAACTTGAGCCTGCCCCTCCAGCCTCGATACCGGCAGCAGCAGCCCGCAGCCCAAATCCTCACAAAGTACTCAACGCCAAACACCACGATGGTCACGATTTCCTGGGAGGTGGGAGGAGCACAGATGAGGACACTATCAGGTCTTAGGAAGGCTGGCTGCATACTACAAGGGCAGTCTCAGGACAGGGATAGATGAAGTCCCATGGCTCAGAAGCTAGAAGTTAGAGTTGCAGGTCTAGCCCACAGGTCCCCCGGCTCACGTCAGCCAGGACTGAATTCCTTATAGATACACTTCTCCCAGGGCTCACTGCTATCAGCAAGTCCTGGCCTGTAGACCGCCAGAGGAACCACCCTTCCTGCCTCCCTTCTGAGCGATATCTGTCCTGTTTGAGATGGCGTGGGAGGCTCTGGTGTCAGGGTACTGGGTGGGCACACTGACACCGGCACTGAGCGAGTTCTCAGTCAAAGCGAAGGGAGAGCGGGTTCCTCTAGAATTCAGGCAGCCCCGGGGCAGTGGGGGCAAAGTGGGTGGAAGAGCATCCTAGTGGGATCGCTCTCCTTGAAGGGCCACCTCCGTTACCAACGGCAACAGAGCAATTACGTACTGTTTCCATGACGCCCACCAGGGCCCCATCGCAGGGTTTATGTGAGTGAGCATCACGGCCTCCCACCCCTTCACCCACATCTTCTGTGGAGCACCCACACTTCCAGTGGAAACACCTATGCACTTAGACTCCAGAGAGCCGGGTGGGAAGGAGAGGCGGTGAGAGCTGTTTGTTGTGATGTCACTTCTGCTATGGACTGGGAGTCTGGGAAGGGGCTTGAGGTCTGCATCACAAAGCCGGAAGCAATGTTGGCTGTGGATGCACGAAAGCCTTCTGCTCTGGAGGAACCCTGGATACAAAGGCCTGACTCGCTCAAACACTCAGGGTTAGGGACAGAACTGGAGGGGTCCAGGGCTTGGGAAGAAGACTACTGCAGAGGTTTCACCATGGGATCAACCAGGGCTCTTTCCCAGCCAGGCCTCTCCTCTCTGCTGCCCTGCCCAAGGGTGCAGCTTACCAAGATGTAGAGGGCCCCCTCTGAGCTCTTCTCGTACTCCTTGATGGTGGAAAATACAGAAAGCACAAGGCAGGAGAAGACCAAGAGAAACCTGCAGGAGGTGAGAGGCACGCGGTTAGTGGGCCAGCCTGGGACGACAGTCGCTGGAGGGCCCTCAGGGAGCAGCAGGGAGAGCACCGTTCTCACCGTTTCCTACCCAAGACTCTAATCACACTGATTGCTGGCCAGGCCCCCTCCCTTTCTCTGGTCTATCCGGTTTGGGTCCTGACAGCCTTAGCTAGTGCAAGAGCAATTAAAAGAACCAACCCCCACACTGCCCCACAGAAGACAAACATTCATACTTTTTCACGAAATGCAACACTTCCTCCCTGGGTTCAGAGGCAGAAAGCTTCTCTTCCTACTGGATTTGGTGCTGAGCAAGAACTTCTCGGATCATCGTTCTAGCCTTGCCCTAGCTGTCATAGTCTCTCCATCTCCCCTTCCTTAAGATATAGAGACCCCTGCTGACCGGTGTATGCTGTAATTATTCCGTTCTCCTTTTTTTACCTGACCCTCCCTGGCCTACCAAAATTCTCCTGCAAGACCTCTGCCTCTTTCGTGGCTATGCGCATCCTCTGACAAGCTGTATGCCTTCTCCCTTACCCAACCCAGAGGACAAGTGCCAGGGTCCTACCACAGGAGCCCAGCTTGCAGCCTTTGACAAGGGCACACCAAGCAACCTAAACACATGATGGACAGCACGGCAATAACACTGCCGGCTGAGGACCACCACACCCACACCTCATCCCGGGAGACTGGAACAGCTGCAGTAAATCACCAGAGACAGACTCTAGGGCCAGGAAGATGCTTCAGCAGGTAAAGACGCTTGCCATCAACCTCAGGACCTTTGTTTCATTTTTTATTTTAATTTGTATTTTTTATTCAATTCCCATAAAGGGTATTGGTGGTGGAGGGTGTGAGTGAGAGAGAGAGAGAGAGAGAGAGAGAGAGAGAGAGAGAGAGAGAGAGAGAATTATAATAAAAATTTTTAAACAGAAAATGAAAACTCCAATACAAATGAGCCTCACAGGTGTGCATGGGATGTGTGTGTGTGTCAGGAACCCACCTCTTAGGCAGCTCCCCTGCAGATGACAACCCATCACACAAAAAAGGTACATCTAACACGGAGCCATGGGGTCCTGTGCATGGAACATGCTTGGCCACAAGGCACCAAGAAGAACTTCACGTCCATCAGAGCCACAAGAACTCTTGCTCCAAGAGTTTCTCGGGCCTGTTTCCACCTGCCAGCCGTCCCTGGCTACCTTCAAAAGCCAGGTGTCCAACCACATGCCCAGCACACAATGATAGCAATGATGATGACTATGTCAACAGGGCTACCATGCTCCTGTTGGGCCTCTGTGTCCTCCTGTGACCCCCTACCTTTGGATAGCAGACAAGTCCAGAGGGTCGGGTTCCTTCCACACAAATCTCCCTCTCAGCCTAATGTGTGGCACCGGCCACTGTCCCCACCCGTTAGTTCACAGCTTCCCTCTTGCCACTCTTTGGTTTATGCTGCTGCAGGCTCAGGGTGCTGTCCGTGAGGATGCTCCCTTGGATGGTCACCTCCAGCCCAGACAGGTTTGGAGCACAGCACAACGGAATTGCGCCCAAAGATCTCCAGGAAAACCAGGAGTGTTCAGCACACAGAATTGTCCTCTCAGAGGAATGGACTTAAAATCTGTTCCTCTATCCAGAAAGGCTGGGAGCTGGAGGTGATTCACAGCCTGGTGATGTGCATTATCTGCTGGGCCAGGGATATCAAGCTCCCACAGCCAGGGCCAGAGGTGGCAAATCGTCCAAATGACCTCTACTATAGCTGTATGACTGAGACCAGGCCAGATCCTTCCTTAGGCCCGAAAGCTAATACAGGTAGCCCATCTCCAGAGCCCATCCTCTTGGAAGAAATGACATGTACCCTGAGTAGAGTTTCAATGTAATTATACCTCCTTGTATACCAGGGATTGTATTACACTCGGAAAATTTCCCCCAAATTCTATTGTGTTTAAATATGCTGACAATAACATCCCCCCTCCACACACACACGGGCATCAGACTCTCTAGATCCTAGAGACTAGAAAGTTTGATCCAGGTTGAAAGAGTCAATGAACCAGGTTTCATTCTCACCTCGGCACAGTTTGCTTCCCTACCTGCCATGACCACCTGCAGGGTCCTCCTCACAGACATACCCCTTGTCACGTGTGTCTTTGGGGATCACTTGTCATTGAGTTGCTGTTATCAGTGTGGGGAGCATGTGCCTTCTCTCCCGTATGGCACAGACATACTCTACCTCCTAACTGTCTTTTCTAGTCCAGGGTTCGGAGTACTCACGGGTAAAATTCTAGCCAGCCAGTGCCAGAAGTACCAGCCCAGGATTTTTGCTCAGACAACCAGGACAAAGGTGACCCTTTCCACCTGGAAAATGGTTTTAGCCTAGGAAATTAGTCTGTGAGTTAAGTCCCAGGGAACCAGCCACAGGCAGATGGGGAAGAGAAAGAGCACACAGCTGAGCCCTCCCATCCAGGTCTGCCAGAACCCCCGGAGCTGCGGGAGATGACGCCCATCACTAAAGATGCTGCATCTGGTTTCTGGTCCTGCAGATTAAAGACCTCTAACTTTTCTAGGCTGTAAGTGGCTGAGGGTCAGGGAAGGTCTTTCTACAATCTCACCACTCATCATAATGGTGCTGTGGTCTACCTCGTCCTGGCCCCTTCCCTTCAGACAACCACAACCAATAAGACATAAGGCAGAAAACAAGGAGCTGTGGGTCTTGTTTGGTTGGCAGAGTTCCTGCCTAACATACACAAGTCCCTGGGTTTGGTACCTGGCAGAGTATAAGTCAGGCATGGTGATGCCTACCTACCATTCCAGCACTCAGGAGGTAGAGGCAGGAGAATCCTGAACCCCCAAAGCTGGGTCCCACATCCTGAGAGGAAACAGTACACAGCACATAGGTCCAAAGGCCCGCTGTCTAGGTGAAGAGCCTAGGACCACCAGTCTGGCATCTCAGACCCTCAAGGGTCCAACATTCCCAAAGTATAACTGGCCCATCGGGGTAGTAACAGAAATTCAAGCACTTCATTGATAGAGCCTGACACATATCAATAATCAATACATACCCATCCTGTGTTATCATCAGTTGCCCACCTGGCCGCCTGAACTCAGGGACCTGCTGTAGGCCTTACTCATAGAGGCTTACTATCTCATCCCCCATTCAGAACCCTGGCACCAAAACAGGGCTCTGAGACCTCCATGATTCCAAGTGCATAAACTCTGTAGAGCGTGACCTGTACTACGGTTTCTGACGAAAGCGTCCATCACATCTGAAAACACAGCAGCACCAAGACGTGCTTGGCCAATGACGTGTACTAGCACAGCCACGCTGAAATAGACAAATGACTTGCATAGGTAAGGAAGGGACAAGGGGGCTTAGCCGTGTGCTTGGGGACCCCAGGTGAGTTAGCAGTCAAAGGGGAATGCCCTGATGATACTCTAGGGCTGCCATGGGAAGAGATTTGGGGCCAGGCGCCACCAGCAAATGTCTCCATCACTCAACACTGATCTCACCAACATCTACCCAGGACCTGGTTACCCTGCTCTCAAAATGCCAACTAGCAGGTACCATGAAGACCCATGCAGGCCGGAGAATATACCATGCCATGAACTATGAAATATGCCAGCAGGCATATATCCAGCCCAAGAGGATGGTGAGGTTGGGATGGTACTCTCAGAAAGACACAGGGAACTGGCCAAGGGAGATAAACGAAGTATAGAGTTCAAAAGCCGAAAAGTAACTCCAAGAGACCGAGAGGAAGCCAGCTGGCGTGAGAGACAGTGTACCCTATCACTCTGATCATCAGCAGAAGTCAAGACACCATTTTCCCCCAGCGAGAGCTGAGGATGCTGCAGGGTCCCACACTGTATGTTCCAGCTTGAATCAGGCCACAGCAGCAGATAGCCAGCAGCACCAGGATCCTCAACCTTAGCCTTAACTAAAGCTCCACCAACACTGGCCCAGCAGAGATGCATGGTCCCTGACCATCTTCCTGGACTTTGAGAGCACCCAGCCCTGGAGCCCCAGGCTTCCGACAGGTCCCAGGTTTGTGGCTCTGAGAGCGAGCACCCAGCCCTGGAGCCCCGGGCTTCGGCGCTCCTGAGCAGAGGCTCTGGCGGCAGTGGCGGCTGCTGGCGCGATCAGAACAACACAAAAGCCGCAGTCACATTTCAAAACTGCAATTAATTTCCTTTGCTCATTAGCCAATTTGTTCAATTAACTAAGCACTGAAAAGATAAATAAAAGAAAGTACAGACATCTCGAATGCCTCCTAGCACTTATTCCGACTGCCTGGGTGCCTACTCCCAACGTGGGCAGCAGGAAAGGAGAGGAAAGGCTAACGGAGATGCCCGTGCCCTGATAAGGATCACGGAGGCTTGAGAGGCGATGAAAACACGTGAGGAACACAGAAGCACACCAGGAGCAGCTTAGCCTGGCAGGAACCCAGAGGAAGTTTCCACAAAGAGGGGTCCCTGGGGCCAGAGCCTGCGGAGTAACGAGGAGCTAGCTTGGCCAGAAGGGAAGCAGGGAAGGTGTTTTGACAGAAGAATGATTTGGCAGAGAGGACGGATATGTGCTGGACCTGGGCAGAAAGGAATTCAGGGCCAGGGACAGACCTACAGGGGCAGACCTGAGAAACAGAGAATCCACACTTAGTTCAGAAAATCCAGCTCCCTGTGGTACAACATATTGTTTTATGTTAAAAAGACCGAAGGGACCCTGTCTTCCTATTACGCATCTCACTTAACCCTTCCTGTACCAGTATTCCCTCCCTGCCCCTTCATACCATCTGCATTCTGATCCCTCCCTTGAAACCTCCCTGTTGCCCCTGAGTGGTTTCTTGGGCTTCTTGGCTTCATGCACAAGACCCGTGCGAGATCAAACCAGAATGGAAGAGGGAGGCGGTCGTGAATCCCACCTCTGGCTGAAGAGCTATTGGCAGATTAGGGATGCTGGGTGAGATGGAGCCCATTGTCTTCAAGGATCCTGCCCCCAGGCGG